TTTATCTGGAGCTACAAATGTACACGTAAGGGTGACCAACTGCTGTAACGAACCTGCCTGGGTACATACACGACTGGAATACCAAGTACCATTTCACAGTTAAATTAACACCATCAGTTCTGTTTCGGCGTCTAAAATATATGAACCTGACAAATAATTTTAAAGGTTCATTGAACAAGTCTCATCTATTTCCCCGTATCAAGCTATCATCATGTTTCGAGATTAATTTTGGAATTAAGGGCTTGTTTAGGGTCAATTTAACAAGTATTATCTATTCTGTCCAACGCATTTTTCACCGATCATTGCCAGTCCATCAGGTCGTCAGGGGATCACAAGTACGCAAAGAGAGAGAGGCAACGGTTATGCGCATGATCGAGGAAACAAATCTGTAGCTATTTTTGTATTATGTCATCCCTACACACAAAAAAACATATTTCCCATTTACGCCTTTGATGCCAGCAGTGTTAAGGTCTTGTATAGGTTAGATATGCTTTTATAGTAGCTAGAATGGTCAACAGAGGTTATTTCAAACGAAGTTATTCGTTCATGGTTGGCATTAATTAAGCAGTCTTAATCCGTCTGCGCGAACGCGTGCATGTGTATAACAAGTAAAATGAAAAGATTTTTGCGCCTGTTTGATATCACTTGCACACATATATTATAAGAGACATTTACTAAGAGGGATATCTCACTCACCCAAGCCTTCCAATTAGTTTACCATTGTGAAAGAGGACAGAGGTAATAAATAAAATAAAAAATAGCATGCTAGTAGAAAGTAATTTAAAAAAATTAGGACCTAAGCTTTCAGAAAAACATAGTGAATGAAAATCACAAAAGGGGGTTCGGTTTTTGGCCCATAGATTAAAAGTAAAGTGAAGTGTACACGTTTATTCATGCAGTTAAGAATAGGTCGAAAAAAAAAAATGATGCACATCCAAAGACACGTGCGAGTGACTAGAAATTAGATGTAATTATTTATTTATTTATTTATTTTGATGAATGACACTGCCTGATAATAGTTCATGTACCGAGAGGTATCAAGCTGTCGAAGGCTGACACGCTCCTGCAGAACTCGTAATTAAAGGCTGATCTGGAGAGTAATTCACACCGTAGCTGGCAGTATAAACGACCAATTAGCTGGTAATGATAATCACTGAAGTAGACACTAATGCGGTATAACGCGAGATCTGCCGGCGGCACCTTGGCTCTCTTCACTCGACGCAGTTTCGGTTCTAAAGTGTTTGGTGACTGCTTCTAGTTCAGGTTTGGTTTCATGACTTAACGCTTTGCAATGGCAATGACGCAACATAAAACCGTATGTGATTGATATTCAGCGATATATGCCTTGGTTGACCTCCGACAACAGTGCATTTCAGAGAGACATTAGTGACCTAAAGTACAGCTCTCCCGAGATGCCACTTTGATTGACCCACGCGTACTAGTAAGACCTCTAATGCACAGCCATATGTACTTGTCTCACGCAGGTGGTGCTTGCGTACATCTGGTGTTATTTTTTTTATCAAAAAAGAAAAAAAATGCAAAATAACCTCCATTTTTGATGGCACTCTCTCAACTGGCGGTAGCTGTCTGGTAGAAATTGTTCAATAATCTAAAATTTCTGGGGAGTGGGCGAACGGTATAATAGGTCCCACCGTCCTATATTAAATGTTTTTGATATCCCATATCTTTAGGCTGAAGATCTCATTTGAACATTGTATTAAAGATAAGTACTTATTACATATTATTATGAAATGAACACGATGCAACCAGAAATAGGCGCTTACCGAGAGGGCACCATTCATATTCAAACTGTGCATTAAAAATATTTACACATTTACTTGTTACACATCTTTAAAATTAAGAAGTTTAGCGTGCAGAACTCGCTGTAGTTTCCCCCACCCCTTTCCTCCAGTATGACGGCAGATGCCAGGTTATAATTGTAATCCGATTTGTCAAAACAAGGACGGATAAAAACAAATCCGAGATTTCCACCGATCTATCTCTCGGCATCGATATTACAGCAGTTTAATCATCGTGCTTAGTAAGACGGCGATGAGACGAATCTGGTACAAATAGGAGACTTTTAATTGTATTTCCTCCTAATCTTACGGTAGCTAATATCTTGGAGGGGGCTCGCGGGTGGGTATCTGTGTCACCGATCATCAAGTTAAGCCGTGATTAGATTCCCATCAATCATCACTAACTTGGAGATATTGACACGTACAGTGGTGCGGAAAATGTTTTAACTCAGATACAGTGTTACTATAGTCGGAACGTGTGTATAAGTACAGCCGTGCCCGAAAATATCGTACTTTTTCAAAAGCATTTGCGATTGATAAATAGGAACTCTGAACTCCTAATGTAGTTTTTTTTAAATAGATAGAGTTATATGCGTGGACAGTACTTTTTCTGATGTACAGTTGCTGAAATATGCGTACAAAGTGTTTCACAACAGGTTGCTCATAAAGGTGGGACTTTGGATTTTTAACACGAATGTTATAAGATGCATCCCTTCTCCTACACCTGTGATGGTGGTTTTACAATACTGTCACGTCGTTTACATTTCTATTCTATTCTATTCTGGTAAGCGGCAGCCGAGAGACTACTAGTATATGCATGACTTGATGTATTAGAATATAAAGCTACATGTATGAACTACATGTAAGACATGCTCTCTCTCTCTCTCTCTCTCTCTCTCTCGTTGTTTAATTTACCATGTTCTGAGCCTATATCATTCAGGGCTCGCACGGGGCACGGGGTTAAATACAATCGGAGTTTTACGCTCATCGAACAAACGTTTCTCTTCCCCTAGAAGACTCGACATGACATGTAGCATATAGTAATATCCTGATGCTCCTGACGATATGAGAGCTTCTTTGACCCCTGTCATATTGTGCCGCCATCATTTGACGCCTGCCAGTTTATTATAAAAAAGTCGGGCGCTGAAAAGGAATTAATACATTTGTATTTTAATAACATATTCCTTACATGTAATATACGTATTTTTTTGCTCTCTGTTAATATAATTCGGTATTTAAATTGTTCAGTATGTTGCGTAAATGCAATCGCTTTATTTACGGTGTGGCATTTCAGGACGAAAAACACTAATATCCGACGAGGCCAAACAATGCGACTGCATGTAAGAAAAAAAACACGAAAAAATGAAAGAGAGAAAAGTTTGTGCAAATGTTGATCCAGCCGAAATAATACAAGGAAAATGGGAAGAGAAGCGCGCTGGTAAAATTGCGCTAATTTGACAATGATCGATCCGTAGACAGCGGGATGATAATATCAACCCACGTGAGACATTCTTATAGATCACTCATTCAAAGAACTCGATACCAGAGACGGCTTTTGTTGTATAATAGATCACAAGGTTCTCAAGAACTTGCATAAAAATCAAGGGGTTTAGTCACAGATAGCGTTTTCTGATACGCCTTCCATTTTCGATAGATAGAAATAAAAGAGGGGGGGGGTAGTACCGATATTCTAACGTGGTGTCCTAACAATTATTTGTTATTTTATTTCATTATCAGTATTTATTTTTTTTTTTTAGTCCAGTTAGTCATGGATTGTAGATCACGCAATGAACACAGTGTTTCAATCATGCGGTGCACTGGAGAAAACGCAGCGTGAAGTATCAATTAACGGCACACCAAACGTCAACATAGAATTATTAATCTTTGTCTGACTGTACGCCTACTCAAAGTCTAATTATAAATACGCAGTGGAAAGTACAAGTAGAGGCATGCAAGTTTACCATCTTAAAACTCACGTTCAAAAGTACTTAATTCACATTCGACGATAACTATACATTTTAAGTTGAGTACCTTTCTTCCATTTCTTAGCAATGACAGTTAAGTTGGATAAAAGCTCTATAAAAAGAAATCTGATAGGTACTTAACATCATTTATCATCATATGGGCGGTTAAATGATAAATATGTGACACCAGAAGACATTGTTATAAAGTTAATAACAGCATGGCACAATTCCTTACACGACGATGGTTTATGTCATAAATTTATGAACTCGGTCGTAATGGAGAGGCTGTGAAATTGAACATATTTGTGATATAACAATATAAAGTCAGCAACATCCTCGTATTCTTATTATCTGAATCTTCCTCACTACAAATCCAACACATTCGAAGATACGTGCGATTAAACAAACTAAATTACTCGCTTCGACGGCTTCATTACTTAATTTTGAAAATGGCACTCCTTAAACAAGTTGATAATTTCAGAAATCACCAGCCTCTCCAAAGAGGTGATCCTTTTTTTACACAATCTGCTGGAAAAGATCGCGATGTATCAAACAGCCAGGCGCATATTTCACTCAAATGTAGTAGAACACCCCGAAACGCGTTTCCACAGCAACGGGCCCCAAAAAGAGTTATGCGTCGAATGAATACCCATTAGTTTGGAGTCGTGCTCGCAGGTGTTCAAATGAGAATTTGAAGACCTATAATCCGCTTATTCTCCTCAGTGTAATGCACGTTTTTTCACTCATATCTTCATCCTTGATTCATCTTCGTAATTCGTTTCTCGTTTACGGCAATTGATCACTGTCAAGGCGAAGGCCTCGGGCCATTCGGTATTGTGTCGTGCTAAGAGCAATAGGAAAATTTAATCCATTTCATTTTTCTTAAAATTGGATGGTATGATGTCTCAATGCGTTTTCACCCAACGGAAGTCGTACATTACGACAGACAAAAATATTTGTGTAATACTTAATCTCTGCCGATTCATTTTTGTCGCATATTCCACATCCTGAACTAACCATATATACATGTAGGCCTACTACTATACTGACGTTTCAGATGGAACCGATTTTATAATGTACATGTATATGTTTATTTTTAAGTCGTTCGAGTATATGATTTATTCAGTAATACATATCGCATTATACTGCACTCTATCACGGCACGTATAGGCTACATGTAGGCCTACCCCAGTGGCAATTTGATTATATCATGGATTATTTCTTTTTTTTTTTTCAGAGTTTCCCGACGCTGGTATATTCAGAAGACACAACGCAGGCGAATCCGAGAGTTACTGCTCAAGTGCTCGCCTAGTGTGCAACAAGACTCCGGACTCGACCACCAGAGACGATATTGACGCCGATGTCAGCAATGGGAAGGTTGCAGTGATGGAAGACGGGAATGAAAGCGAGACCGGAACGAGCGACAGCGGAAATGGTGATGAGCCTTCTGGGAAGGGCGAAAAGACTAGACGGCGGAGGACAGCATTTACCAGCGAACAACTCTTAGAACTTGAAAAAGAATTCCACAGCAAAAAATATCTGTCACTGACTGAGCGCTCACAGATAGCACAGACACTGAAACTTAGTGAAGTGCAGGTTAAAATATGGTTTCAGAACCGTAGAGCGAAGTGGAAAAGGGTTAAGGCGGGACTTCCTCAAAGGGTTAAAAGTGGTGTTGAGACACCTCAACCGAGCATGCGCAGACCGAAGATCGTGGTGCCTATTCCCATTCACGTGAATAGAGTAGCAATTCGAAGCCAGCACCAACAGCTGGAGAAGACTATGAAAGCTTTGCAGCATCATTAACCATTGTTTCGTGTTTGGGGTTTAAAGCCGATATGAAATATTATAAAAATGATATTAAATAATATAACGCTTGTTTTTTAATACAGCGTAGGCTTAAGTCTGGATGGGTTAGAATAAACCACTGGATGACATGGGAATCGACACATTATAATCATCTGATTATATCAAATATTTGAAACATTGGAAAGGATAAACTGGTATTTTGCTAGAGTAAGTAGGCCTACCTGTAGGCCTACATGTACACCTATATTTAGAATAATAAGCAATATTCACGAGGGGTGACAGTTTCTCAGCCGATTTCTCTCAAATCACTAAGAATGATAACCATGAATCTGTGCTATACATTAGCTGGTGTTATAATAGGACTAATGAACTCTTGTTAATTGTGCTGTAAATAGATGTGCAAGGACTTTATTTGGTGCGTTGTGAAAGTAGTCACATAGAAAATTGGTGTGCGTAGCAGCGAGAAGCTATAGAGAGAAACCCATTCAATTTATTACAGGTGTAGTATTCGGGGCCATGAAAAAAGGCAATTTGGTCAGTAAATATATTACAAAGGTACTCTATGTGTCCTTTTTTGGGTACAGTGCAATTTGTCTAAACGGAAATAGTGCCTCCTTGGGTCATTCAGACTATGTAGGAAAGTGCCAATAAAACACAACAAACAAGTAACGTTTGTTAAATCTTTATTTCTGTCATAGGGGTTATAGTAAGGTTAAACATTAGGCCTTTTGTATACTTACGCTGCACCAAATTCAAAAAGCAATTTTTCAGATCGATTTACCCCCTCCCCCCCCCCCCACCATCACACTTATGATGTGCGTACTGCACTGTACGCGCCTGATCGATACAAAGTTTTAACTTTTTTAAATAACTATAAATGTATGGACTCTCAAGCCCTAAGATCCCATACATAAGCGTAGACTGTGGCAGCGTCAGATTTGTGAATTTGGTTTTAAAATTCTTAATCTTAAAAGTATTGCTTAGAATTTTATTTTATTGTATTATAATATTAAAATTATACTGAAAGAAAATTCCTAAAACGACCCAGTACTCCTTTTGGCTCTTTTGAATACTCGGATCGCCACGAAATGTATCCTTTCTACACTTTCTTACAACATTGCTCAACAAAGTTTTCCTCTCTCCATGGCCAGTTTCATGCGCTTTTATTTACGAATGATCAAATCACAGGTAAAAATTGTTATGAATAGTGAGTTTCATTCCAGATACCATAACTAGCATGATTAATGATACAGAAAATACTTAATAGCGGTGAAGATATCCATATTTAATACCAATTATTCATATTTATAACATGTACCCCCTTAATTCCGATGTTTCACTGTAATTTCCATAGAAGTTAAGAAATGTTCATTTAATTGAAAAGACACCACCAGATGTCACCAAATCTACACACAATTAGCATAAGGGTGTGCTCGTTAAAGGTCTAATAGCTGTCTACTGCATACTGCAATGCATTGCCGGGTATCTCCTGTAGGCGGCGCTGCCTGCCTTCAGCAAGGGCACCAATTCTGTTTTGTAAGACATTGTCCCATTCTTCCTAAAGAGCTTGGCAGAGTTGGTCCAGATTATTAGAAGGTTGGTATTCTTCAGCGTCTCTCACTCCAATTCATGCCACAGGTGCTCAGTAGGGTTAGTATTAGGGCTCAAATAAGGTTGTTTCATCCTCAGAACATTGAATTTCTGCAACAAATCACTCAATGTGTAAGTGCATTTCCATGATGAAGCCTGCAGTATAGTTATGGTATCTGCAATAAAAATCACTATTTATGCCATTTATTAGCAATACTGTATGGTAAGCATCTTCTCGAAGCTGATCTTTTTTCATTAACATTTTTTAAATTTCATTCAACTATTTTTTCAGAAAGGGTGGGGTCGCCACGACAACGCATAATTTGGACATGTTACTTTTGTTAAAAAAAGTCACCCTCGCCAACAAACACAAAGGCATTTGTAGACGGATTTGCACAATGGCACAATACACTTTGCTTAGTTGAAAGAACACTTCTGCGTTCTAAATAGGGTTTGTCGTCTGAGTTTGACGACAATCCGCGTGCCGATGTATGAACACTACCGCTACATACGTGAATGTCACTGTTAATTAGTATCACACTTGAAATTCATAGTGCCCTTATACGTCTTGATTACGGTTATAGAACCCCTGATTAGATGGTGTTGTTTTCGCCTCAATTTCGAGCGAGCACTGACGCAAAATTAATCTTTTTGCAAATGTTCATCAAGTTTTCATAAGTTCAATTGTATTAATATATTTTCAGCTCGGGTCTTGTGTTCTTTCATATCAGTTTTTTCCTGATATGATCTAGAGCTCTGTTATGACGAAAATGATAGATATTATAGATATCGTAGAAATAGCTGAATCGAAAGTTTTAAAAAATTAAACAAAAATTTTCAAATTGATGTACATATTGTTAAAAAGAGTGATTAAAACAGATAGCAGGAATATGACTTTGACCGCTATTTGTATAGTATTTTCTAGTAAAAGCAAATAACATTTCTTCAGTATCCCTTTGCACAAATTAGGACCCATCAAACTAGCCGGTCATTGGAAGAAACAACTTTTAATATCACCAAAGAGTAAGCAATCGGATGATTGCTTCACATAGGATCGATTCATAATTCAGCCAAAACAAATAATAATCGAACCAACTGTTCCAATTCTGCAAGCAATATATCTCAGACCCTGCGCCTTCTCTGGAAGCGGTTAGACAAATGTACAAGAGGCAATTGCCTTAAGTTTGTACTGATTGATCAACGGGCGAGCGTTCCTGGAGATTTAATTTACATTTGGGGGGAAATTGGTCCGCGAGTTGACAGGGTGACGACCCTTTCAATCATCCAGCAATCCCAAGGTGCATTGTGAATTCCCAGGGTGCAATGCAATTCTCGTGCCAGCGCACCTCACGCGATCGACTCGGTTAAGTAAATGGCGTTCTGAGAGATCTGACAGGTATACCCTTTCAATCATGTTTCCAATGTCATGGTCAACGGCAAGTCACTAGGGGTGTTTTGACTTTCCTTTGTTCGTTGCTGCGCCTTCTGTGTATTCTTGTTTTTCCTTAGTTTTTCTTGGCCGCGTAATTAATTTTCTTCGTTATTTGAGTTCCAGTCTCCATTCGCTGTGTTATAACTCACTGTTGACTTCGTAAACGAAGCCTGCATTTACTAGCTGTAAAGGATTTGCAGTTGGAAAAACATTATCAGCCTACTCAAATGGCTCATGATTTTTTGTATATAGTTCTAACACCAAGTGTTTCGTACCGTTGGATAATATGCCCTTTTCTGTTTTTATGTGCATCTTCTTCTGATATATATATCAAATAGCATTCTATTTTTCAAAAACGTTTACCTTTGGGTCAAATAATTAATTAGCATTGAATAATCTTTCATTAAGTATCATACATCATGAAGTCGGTAATTGGTCGAAATTTTGTGATGATCTGTAGATTTGGAAGTGGCCCTACAAAGACAGGTCCACTGATGACCAAGTTGCCCCCATTTATGCCATGACACAGCTGAAAATGTTTTTGGCTACAAATTTGCAAATGATTCATTTATATATTTCACGACCATAGAAAAATAATAAATGAGTAAAAAGATAATAATTGAACAAAAAGACTAATGAATAAATGAGAAAATGGCATGTTTTTCAAATGAATGGAAAAGTAGGCCTATATATATAAACCAATATATGAAATCAATTTATTTAGATGCTGCGCAAGTACGGTAACTACATTTTTTAAAAAACAATGTGGACTGGTGGTATGTTACCCGGTACAGAAGTTTGAAAATTAAAATTCATGCTGGCATGGAAGATCGAGCATTAATGTCTACAAAAAGTTCATCTTTTCCATGTGATCCGAGCTAGCTGTCACTGCCCTTTCAGACCGTCATTTCTTCATCAGTCCGTGTCTAAACATTCTAATTAATAAGCACTTCACATAAAAATCAAACATCAAATAGAATCGCCCTAACTCCGACCCCAGTGCATAACTATTTAATGCTCACATCAGAGTGAATAGTGTAAAGTGGGAAAAGGTGATAACCTTTTCCATCAAACAATTCCCAAGATGCGTGTTTATTAGGTTAGGAAACTAATGCATTAGTAGCTAGAAACACCGGAGGATGCTGTGCAGCAGACCGTCAAACAGTTTCTCTCTCATTTAAGTCAGCTAGGTTGTCTTGAATGGATATTCAGTCATGGTTCTTAACTTTTGATTACTTGAAAAAGGTATTCAGTTATCCCGGACTGTACAAATTGGAATAAAGGGCGAATATAAGCATTTCATTTATCGTAAATTGAAAGAAATCTCATTCAGGGTTAAGACAGCAGGCTGATTTTGCAATTTGATTGGCGATTAAGTTCCCTTTGCTCGTTTTTTTTTCTTTTAA